CTGAGGGGTGAAAGTACTGAAGCTAAAAGTTACTTGGATTCTTTCTCTTGCACTTTAATATGGTTGTTACCCATTTAGTTTACTTTATTTGTTTCTGTTTGTTTCTAACACCAAAGTTTAAAAACAAATCTTTGTTGATTTAGTTGTTGACATTTTAATTATGATGTGTCTTGCTGTGGATCTCTTTGAGCTCATTTTGTGTGGGACTCTCTGTGCTTCATAGACCTAGATGTCTGTTTCCTTCACCAGGTTGGGGAAGATTTTAGACATTATTTTAAAAAATAGTTTTCTGTCCCTTTCTCTCTCTCTTATCCTTCTGGGACCCTTATGATTTGAATGTTTGTATTCTTGATGTTGTCTCAGAGGTTCCTTACATTATCCTGATTTTAAAAATTCTTTTTTCTTTTTGCTTTTCTGATAGGGTGTTTTCTGCTATCTTGTCTTCAAAATTGCTGATTTAATTCTCTGCTTCATCTAATCTGATGCTGATTCCATTGAATGTATTCTTCATTTTAGTTATTGTATTATTATTTTTTTTTAGAGAGAGGGAGAGAGAGAGAGAGAAATATCAATGTGAGAGTGAACATAGATTGGCTGCCTCCTACATGCCCTCTACTGGGGATTGAACCTGCAATCTGGGCATGTGTTCTGGACCAGGAATCGAACTAGCAACTGGCAACCTCTTGGTGCCCAGACAACACCCAACCAATGGAGCCACACCGGCCAGGGATGACTGCTTCTTTTTCTATGTTTTCTATCTCCTTTCTTAATGTTTCCTATCTCATTGTTGAAGTTCTCACTGAATTCATCTATCCTTCTCCTGAGCGCATTGAGCATCCTTATAACCAGTGTTTTGAACTTTTTTCTGATAGATTTCTTGTTTCTGTTTCATTTTGTTCTTTTCCTAGAGTTTTGACATAGTCCTTCATTTGGTACATAGTTCTCTGTTTCCTCATTTTGGCTGTCTCTCTGTGTTTGTTACTGTAAAGTAGGCAAAACAACAACCCTTCCAGTCTTGAAGGAGTGACCTTGCGTAGGAACTACTCCTTGCACCCTGTACATGCAGGGTGTTTTGGGCAGGCCAGCTGGAGCTAGAGCATGCATGCACTACACAGAGGCCCAGGGGGCAAGCCTTACCAGGGCCTGGAGCTATAGCTGGAGTAGGGGCGGGTCAAAGGAAGTCTGAGGTTAAGCTGCATTTTACTGCCTTGGCAGACCCATTGGAATTGTAGCTGGAGTGGTCTCAAGCCTTGGGTAGTCCTGGGGGTAAGCCACACTGGGACCTGGAGCTGAAGCTGGAGCAGGTTCAAGTTGTAGACATTCTCAGAGGTAAGATACTGGGGCTGTAGTAGAAGTGGGTATGGTCTACAGGAAGTCTGGCAGGAGCTGTAACTAGTGATGGGTAGGGTGCAAATTGAGGGGAATACTGGGAACAAGTCACAAGGCTAGAAGCTAAAGCTGGAACAGGCTGCAGGGAGATCTGTTTCTGTGTGGTCTCTCTCATCGTTGTGCAGAAGCTATTCAGTCAGCTCTCAGTTCTTCTTTGGAGGAATTGTTCTGTCTGTAGTTGTACATTCCATGTGTTCCCGGGAGAAGGTGAGTTCAGGGTCTTCATATGCCACCATCTTAGACTAGAAGCTCCTTATTATTATTATTACTTTTTTTATAATAACCATTCAAAAGGGTGTGAGGTCACTATGATTTTGACTTACATTTCCCTAGTGATTAGTGTTGATGAGGTAGTGGCCAGAATTAAGCTTATGTTTTCAGCTAAAATTAACTAAGAAATGAAAAATATAAGAAAATCTGATTTATAGCTTTGAAACGAAATGGAACTGTTTTTGGTTATAGGGTTATAATCTTTCATATTCAATGTCTTGGCAAAAGTTTTCAATGTCTTCAAACAATTCCTCCAGGCAGATTAAAAAACATTTCATGTTTTCTGAAATACTTTAGATTCATAAGAACCAACATTAATATATATATTTATTGTTGTTAAACAACCAAAAATGTCAATGTCATTCTTGTCCAGAGATGATCCAGATTAGCCTTCAGGGCAATTACAATTCTGTTGGACAGGCATCATCTAGAAACCTGGAGAAAATGTCTCATGGCACAACCCAGTTGACTGACAATAACTTCCCCATTTGTAAGAATAGTATGCATAATGTTCTGGAGGGGTATTTTATTAACCGAAAAGAAAACCAACATGTGTCAGAAAATTTATAGTCACCTAAAACCTGGCACCACCATATACATTTTCTGGTGTACTTAAAATCTCCGGGGAAGGTTTAACTACCACTCTACACCTGTGGACGGGAATAGCAGCTCTGTCAAAATCTCCTCAGAGGCGACTCTTGGAGTTCTTGGGCATTTTATTCCATTCCCGCCGAGTCTAGGTTTACATCATTCAATCACCCATTTATTCATTTAAAACAGTGGTTCCCAACCTGTGGGTCGTGACCTCTTTGGGGGTTGAACGACCCTTTCACAGGGGTCGCCTAAGACATAACAGTGGCAAAATTACAGTTATGAAGTAGCAACAAAAATTTTATGGTTAGGGATCGCCACAACATGAGGAACTGTGTTAAACGATCACGGCATTAGGAAGGTTGAGAACCACTGATTTAAAAGATGTTTAGTGAGAACTTTGTGTGTGCTACTGATGAGGCTAGGCTCTGGGGATAAGGCTATAGAACAGACACTAAGATTAGGCAGTCGGTAGACTTGCTGGTGGGGCCAATTTCAGATGACAGAGGGCAGTGATCTTTACCTTACCTGATGCAGGCTCTTCCCTCAAGATGACTTTAATGAGTTACTCAGAAACAGCGAAAGTTTGTTATGTTTGGGTAGACTATAACTTAGGTTGCTCATCAGTAGGAGTATATACTATTTACATGTGAAGAGAGAGAAAGCAGAAGCTGGCAAGGTACTAGCATGAGACAGAGGATAAGGAAGAGCAGTGATCAACACAGCTTCCTATGAGACAGGTACATATATCTTGCAAAGCCAAAGAAAGCTTTGAATTGATGAGTTGTGTTTTGAAATGTGGTGGTGTAAATGGATTCCTTATAAACCTTAATAATTAATTAATTTTCAAGAAATTACTGAATACCCATTCTTTGCCCAGTACTATTCTAGTTATAAGGGAGGTGCCAAAGAAGTGGAGTATGTGGTACTGTACCTCATGGAGGGCATACCTTCCTCTATCCGACAGAGAGCACAGAATATTGCCTACTTTTCTAGAGTGATAACTACTTCTGGGCAGGAATCCCTCCTTGAGAATAATCATTCCTGGCTGCTGTCTGAGCCTAATTAGATCCCAACCACCAGGGACAAACCTATAGGAAGACAAGGTTAGGATAACTGGCTCCTTATTGAGGGAGACTGCATATCAGAGGAACCCAGAAGTATCTCATCAATTAAAAGGAGATATATGGGGTTATTATAGGATTTGGAGAAGGGTAGAGTTTAAGTCAAATTGAAAAGAAACAATGTTTTGGTAGGCTCAAAGCAAAAAAGGGCTGTGTGTAAGAGGCCAGCATCAGGTTGAATTGCAAAGTGAGCCCAGGGCCTCTTTCCTTGGAATTGATCACGTTAAAATAGATGTGAAGTGTGTCTAGAAATCCCTCATCTGAAGCTCTATACCTAGGCCGAAATAAAAGCTACTTCTTTCTGTCAAATTCACTTCATCATGCAGACAAGAGTAGTATGTTTCCTTCTTATTCATATGATTTTAAACAGCAAATTTTCTGACAGTCTATGATTTTAGAGAACAAGGGTCTAAGTAAGAAAGCAGTGGTCAAAGGGATTGTGATGCTTCACAGCTGCAGCCTGACCTTGGGAGAAATCGTGTTTCCTTAAACTTTGCAGCTGGTTTTACCTAAGTCTTATCTGTGTCTGCTATCTGCTAAAAAAACAAGACAATATGCCCAAAATGGAGTGGCTTATGCTAAGCCTCTGGTCAACAATCCAAGACTTACATTTCAGGTCTATCAGAATCTTAAACCAGTCAATCAAGAATCACTTAATCAGCTACTAGTTAGGTGATCTGCCTGATAGTCCACCACCATCCCCCAAAGGAAAGTAACTGCTATAACTAACCTGCTTTTTGCCAGTAAAACTTCCTTGTTTTTGCTCCCTTCTACCTACATAAAACTTTTATTTTGTACAGCTTTTTATCTGCTAGATTGTATGCTGAGTGATTTTAATCAACTTTTGTTTAAATAAAGAGTTAAACATTTTAAATATGGCTCAGTTTATTTAACATATCCCAGTGTAATAAATGATCAGTCTGATTTTTACTTTTTCAAAGGAACTGTTGTTACTTTGCTTTCTCACTGCAAATTCACCACACAACAGCAGGTTCCTAGGTGGTGTTCACTTGATCATCATAGACTCTGGAAAACCACCGACATAAATCCATTTTTTTCTTCCCAAAGTGGAAAAGATAAGGTAGAGCTAGAGAGACCCTAAAGTCAAGGTCTTGTTCAGCCATATCCCTCTCCTCCCTCTACACACTCACACCTTTGTTCCTCCAGCTCCCGAGGTGTCCAAAGGTCGCACTAAGTGAATAAGAAACAAAAGAACCACTAAGGTCCTCCCTGCTTTGAATCAAATTCCACGCGGCCTCTCCCAGGCTGTTGGTCCGGGCTCTGGCTTGGGAGAAGGGGGGCGTGCTGCTTGAACTGACTAGTTTAGTAGTTTATCGCCTTCCCTGTGTCCTCCCCTGGAAGCTCTGCGGAGAGGGAGAGAGGCCAACTCGCCGAGCCACGCGGGAAGCCACCAGCCTTCCAGATGCAACTCCCCCTACTTCGTCTGGCTGGAGCCCCGGGCCGGGAGCTGCCCCAGACGGACCAGGAATTCCTTCGGCCCCGCCCCCTGCCCCGTTCCAAGCTTGGCTCCTGGCCCCGCCCCTGCAGGGCGCCCCGGAACCGGCTGCGGGTGGGACCTGCTCTCCCGCCGGGCCGGTGGGGGCGGGACCCGTCCTGCAGCCGAGGACCCGGGCAGCGGGAGGTGAACCTCCGTCCGGAAGTCGGGGGTTCGCGGCCATGACTGTGCCCGCCCGCGGCTTCTCGCTGCTCCGCAGTCGTCTGGGCCGAGTCCCGGGGCTGGGAGGGAGCGCGGTGGCTCCGGCAGGGGCGCCGGGAGCGGCCGGGCGCACGTTCCGGGGCTTTCGGAGCAGCGGCGTGAGGTACGAGCACGACGGGACTCTGGGGTCCCGGGTTCTGCGCGCTCCGGCTGGGCAGCCGCGGCCGGTGGGCGGGGCGGCGGGTGCGAGCGCTGGTCGCGAGCCGGGCCCTCGCGCTCGGGCTCCAGGCGCCCGGGTGGCCGCGCGGGGGGCGGGGCGAGGCCTGCCTGGGCTCCGAACTTGGCCTAGTGGACCACGCAGGCGGGTCCAGTTGGCCCGAAGTGGGGCAACTCGGACGCGTTCGGACCTGCGCTGCGGCACCAGAACGTCCCTTCTTTGCAGCTGGTGCAGTTGAGTGATCTACGAGGACACTTGAGTCCCTCCTGAAGGTGCCATAAAAACGCACGGCCCGCTGGTTTCATCGGGCTGTTTTTGTTTTGGATAGTGTGATTCCTAAACAAAGCAGTGGGCGCTGTTCCTCACGGGTTATTAAAAGCGTTTGAATTTATGCATTCCTTTGTTGGTGGTAATAGGTCTTTTCTAGCCCTAAAGTTCTTAATGAGTAATCTTGATTTCTCAGTCTTTTTCTGTATGACACTTCCCAGACCTCTTCAACCTAAGATCGAAGTGATGCATCTATTCCCTAAATCCCTTTGGACCTTGTTGTTGACCAGTGCATTGGAAATACACAGCACTACGGTTTTAACTCTTCTGCACAAGGGTGCCCGGGAACACTGCCCGCCATTTACTTGTCCTAGTTGCAAACTCAGATCTAAGAGCTAAAATTATATTCCCTTGACCCAAAGCCAGTGAGTTCAGAAGAGATTTCCCTTTCCAGACTTTCGGGGCCTCCAATAATGTGCTGCGTTCACTGCCGTTTTATGTGGCCTGAGATGGTGTCTTACTAGTCTTTTTGTACCTCCAATGCTCAGCACAATACCTGGAGGAAAGTAATGATCAGTGATGTGGAAATACAGCTACTGCTTGTTTAATTTAAATCAAGTCCCCATTGTATGCATTGGGACGTAAGTCTTGAGTAACTGAAATAAAAATTATTTTCTGTAGGGTTTACTTGGGAGGCAGCGGTTAGTGACCAGATCTTCCACAAGAATATGTGAGAAAATAACTGATTCAGAGCTCTGGTTGTGTAAACTCTTGTAGTGTCTGGAAGAATTTGCCAGTTTGAAATTAGTAACTTTATTAGTGACCTGAGCCCTGAGGCTAAGGCGACTAGATTCCATCTTTATGTAGTTCCCTTGGCTAAGGCGGCTAAATGACTCCATTTTTATCATCAATGGACCTTCCTGATATTTTTTAAATAAAAGGTTAATTACCCCTAGAAGTAAAGGAATTTTGCCTAAGATTATAGTTGCCCCACGTGTTGGGAGGGATTTGCAGTTTCCAATTGGGAAACTTCAAATCTTGAGCCCAGTGATTAATGCTAATTTTGATTTCTGTAATCGTTGTCACACCCACTATTGTTCCGGTTTCCTGAGGAGGGGCGGGCAAAAGGTGGATGGGGCTTCTGTCTGTGAAAGAGGACCAGCAAGGACAATCAGGGCTGAGCATCTGGGGAAGCGGTACCCCACAGCCCGCCTGTGTAATGAAGTGCTCCTTTACAATTTGACTGTGTGTCTCTGGTTATCTCATTGACACTTGACAACATTACCTAGGTAAAGGAAATCTGTAGAATTCTATTTGCATTACAAAATTGAAGGAATTATCTACTATAGTTATTTAATCTATTTATTTAGATTTTTTTTTAATTTTAGTGTTTTAGGGTGTATTTCCAGCATGGAGATAACTTTGTTCAAATGGTACAAGTTGATTAATTTCTCTTTGTCAGCTTAATGCAAACAACCCCACGTGCATTAGATAGGAGTCAAAACAATTACAACCCAAGTATTTGATTGTAGCTACTTGATTTTCACAGACACACATAGCTAATTCAGATCTTTTATTATTATTATTATTATTACTGGTTCTCTTTATAATTTAAAACAGTTGCAATAATTTTGGAAAGCTATTCTTAATATAGATAAGAACTGTTACTTTCGACCCAGTTGCTTTCAGCCCCATTTGATGCAGATTATAACTATAAAAATAAATACTACTTTTTATAGTTTTTATTTATTTTTTTATTTTTATTTTTTTATCCTCACTCGAGGACATTTTTGCTTTATCTTCAGATAGAGTGGGAGGGAGAGAGAGAGACAGGAAGAGAGAGGGACACATCGACTGGTTGCCACCCATACGGGGACAAACTGCAACCAAGCTACATGCCCTTAGCGGGAACCGAACCAGGGAATCTCTGGTCCGCAGGCTGATGCTCTAACTGCGGAGCCAAACCGGCCAGGGCTAGTTTTTATTTTTTTTTAAGGCAACACTAATTAAGTTAGGATAGGGTGGTGTTTTTTTTTTTTGTTTGTTTGTTTGTTTTATCCTCACCCGAGGATATTTTTCCATTTTTTGTACAGATAGAGTGGGAGGGAGAGAGAGGAAGGGAGAGAGAGAGAGAAACATTGACGTGAAGGGACACATCGAGTGGCTGCCACCCGCACAACCAACCAGGGCCGGGGACAAACTGCAACCGAAGTACGTGCCCTTAGCGGGAACTGAACCCGGGTCTCTCCGGACCGCAGGCCGACGCTTTAACCGCTGAGCCAAACTGGCCAGGGCTAGGGTGGTGTTTTGATTTCCTCTTGGCACTGAATATCATATAAAGGTGAGGATGGCTGTAAGGTTGAGAAACACCTGTGGACTGGTGGGTCTCTGGTGGGGAGGAATTTCGACAGTGTGTTGATGCTTATTGGTGTCTCTTTTCTCTTCTAGGGCCAGCAGAGAGAAGAGATTCCATCTTCCAGAGGTCGCCACTGTCTACCTCCCCACTTGTCCCCATCCTCAGTCATCATTTTTTTAATGTATAGTGACACATTAGTTTTTTAGTTCTTCATAGTGAATGTGGTCTAAATCTGACATCATTTCTATTAAGTTGGAATTTGAACCCTAGTGTTATTTTTACTGAAAATTGTCTTTTGAGTGTGATAAACTCTCACTGAAAGATATTGACTGTTTGCAGTTAAGATTTAGTACCAGTTTCTGAGTTATATAGAGCTTTAAATCAATGATTAAAATGTATTTTTGATTATATTTTTATATTTTTGATTAATTAGATACCTGTAATAATGACATACATAAATACTGTTTTAGTGTAGTTTTTGTTTTGGACAAGTGAAATTTCAAGTAATGGTCTTTGACAAAATTTGAAAGTTGCAAAATCTTGAAATACCATTTAACATTTTTCTCTCAATGGTTTTTCCTTTAAGGTTTACAGTGAGTTTTATTCCCCTATTTATTCATGATAAATTGGTTCTTATTCATTGGAAGAAAATACATTTAGTGTGAAAGAAATAAATAAGCTCTTCTATTTGTTGCAGCTTATTGTTTCTTAAAATGAATGACCTAAATAGCCAAAAGGTTAAAAATAAAAAAAATTATTGGTGATTAAATTTTTCCTGTTTTGCCTTGCTGTGTGAGGAGTTTACAAATCAAATTGTCTTTGGGTTATAAATATCACATGAATCTGGCCCAGTGTTTTTCAGTATTTGGAGCCAGGCAGCAATCTACCTCATTTGAAGGGGCAGTCACACACAGACCATTTAAATTGATGTCTCTCGCTCAAAGCAGATTTCTAGGTATCCTGCAACAGGGACTTCTCCAAACCCTGCTTTAGCTCATCCTACCTGAACTCATTTTCAGTAACTAAATGGATGTCCCAAGTGTTTGTTCCATGTTTATCCTGGTGCTCAATTATTTCTAAAATCATTAATTTGGAAGATATATTTTTCCTCCTCCTGCTATAATTCCTTTTAGCATTTGTAAAATTTTGTGTGTTTGCCTACAGCTCTTTATGGAAGCCTCACCTTTCTTTATGTCTCACTGCCAATGGCTTTATAATTTTTGCAGCTAGGTTGACATTTAAAAAAAAAACACTACATTTTTAGACTTAATAAAAGACAATGGTTTATGTTATTTAAATATTAATGTCTTATAAAGTGGGTAGTTGAATTTAATAATTAAAAACCAATTTTTATCATGAAGGCTGTTCATTTTTCTTCAGATTTTCCCCTTTCGTACTTACTTAATATTTCTATCTCTGTAGAAGAATTACTTCTTTATGGTCCTTGTAGCCTTGCCCTGGCTGGTTTGGCTCAGTGGTTAGAGTGTTGCCCTGCAGACCAAAGGGGTTTGATTCCGGGTCAAGGGTTTGACTCCTGTGTTGCAGGTTTTGTAGCCTTGGTCAGGGTTGTGCGTGGACCATGTGGGAAGCAACCAATTGATTTGTCTCTCTCACATCAATGTTTCTGTCTCCCTCCCTACCTCCCTTCCACTCTTCATAAAAAATCAATGGAAAAATATCCTTGAGTGAGAATTAACAACAACAAAGATCCTTTTATCCTCGTGTGAGGCTGGAAGGATCCAGACTTTATTTAGGACCGTTACTAAAGTTGAATTTCCACAGACTGATTTCAACCAAGATAGAGTTAGTCCCAATGTCTAGCAAAAGCATTTTCTCGAAGTCATATTTTGTTGTGTTAGCAAATATGATAGTTTGGTTTTCCCATCTTAATGCCTTACCTATTTAATGAAAATGAGATATGATAGCTATCTGGCTACAGTTTTGATTTCCCAACAGTTCTTATGTCATTTTCAGTTTAGAACTTAAATGTTTCACCATTTAGTGTCTTTTTATCTTACCTTTGTCTGTATCCCAGCTATTCAGAGATAATATATTCTAATGTAACATGTCCAAAATTAAGTTTTCTGATTAAAATGGATCAGTAGATGGAAAACAGAGACTAATACTAATCTCAGATTTTGTTACTCAGTCATGGGTTTAGTAGTAATTTAGCAGTTTCTTTAAGGACCTGAATCTTTGTCTTTCAAATGCTTTCATATTATATTATCTTTTCATGTTAATACCTTGATGGGATATTAAAAACAGCAGAGGAAAAAAACCATGAATAATCTTCCCTGGTCACATACTCTCATGGGATTTCATG